CAATACAGATTGATAAACAAATACAACTATTTTTTTTTCATTTGTAAAAAGAAAGTTATGAGCTCAGGCTCTAGAATTGTGTGGGACAGATTTTGCCTCCATTAGCTGTGTGAGCTTAGGTTTCTTTGTGCTTCAATGCCCTCATTTATTTTTAAAAAGGAAATTATCTGCTTTATTGAAATGTTGTATTAAATGCATTTATTGTTTTAAGGATTATTCTTGACACTTCGATCTGCTCAATAAATTTTAATCAATCTTCTCATCCTTCTTTTTTACATTGTTGCTTTTGTTAAGGCAAAAGTTTAGAACTCTCTAAGCATTTTAAAATTTAGTAAAGTCTGTCATTTGATAACTATCTTTTCTTCATATTGAAACTTGGTAAGGGGATAGAATAAGCTCTGTCTAGAGATATAAAACAAAAACTAGAATGTGTTTAGCAAAAATTATCCAATGTTGCTACTTCAAGTCATTACCAGAAAAATCTGCCCAAATTAGTAATGAGCTTTAACTCAAAGGTTTTCTTCTTTTTTTCTTTCAAATTATAAAGAGAAAACCATCAAAATTAGCTAAGCAAAGCACTACCTACTAGGATATTTGGGGGAATTTTTTTTTGTGGGGGGAAATTTTTTTAAAGAAAAAGAAAAACATCTTTTGTAATATTTGTATCTGTAGCATACAAGTCGAGGGAAGGGCTTCCAAATCTCTTTAAAAGACTATATCCTCTTAAGGTGTTTAAAAAATTCTTAGACTGTGTTGTAAACACCACTAGTTAGCTCAAAAGAGGTACTTCCCTTTCCAAATTTAAAAAAAAATCGAAGTGGGAATGCCTCTGTTCAAATCCTGTATTCCAATCTTACGGAATACATATCAATTAATTACAACTCCAAACGATTACACACTAGTGAAAAATACAAAGGGAAAGCAAATGAAAGAACATAATTGATCCCCAAATAATGCCAGCAGCAGCTGTGGTCATACTAATAATCATGACATAATATTTGATCCTTAAAAATGCCAATATGGCTTCTTAACTCCATTAGCAACAGAGAAAGAGAAAGAGAAAGAGAGATAGAGAGACATATATATACAAAAGCCCAGAGAGGACAACTGGCTTGCCCAAGTCTATAGAAATGTTCTCTGCATATCTGGGGGCAAAATTTAAGTCTTATCACTTCTAGTCCATTCTGCTGTCCTATACCGCTGACAGTGTCTAATGGAAGTCGCATTCCCAAAATTTGCCTGGGGTCATTTGTTTAGAATGCAGAATGCATTTTCTAAGATTGAAAAACATGTTTTGAAAGATCATTGGCTTTCCTCTCATAGATACACATTTCTATACTTAATGCTACAGACCCTATTTTATGTATATAATATGTTTCTAAAGGGGAAAAACAAGAAAAACACTTAGAACTATTATTTGAATGCATGGGAAACATTTTCCCACCCTGCAGCCTGGCTGCTTCAGACCAGAATTGACCTTCAAACCTGGTTCCCTGAAAATATAATCCAATCTTAACACTAGCTTTCTCGTATCTGGCTCTGAAAGAAAGCAGAGCAGTGTTTTTGAAGCACTATTAGAGAGGCAGGGATAAGTGTAGGAGACAGTGGAGGTCTAAAGGTGGGGCATTGATTGCGGTCTTCTCTGAATGCAGACAATGGAGGGGTATATTTAAAGAGAATTTAGAAAACAATCATTAAATGAACTAAATGGCCTAGGCAATCTATTTTCTACCAGCACTATGATCTGGAAACTCTAAATAACATCAGTGATAAAGGACTACTCCCTAAAAAATATTTTGTTAGTCTATATTTTAAACAATTAATGTGGTTACTATTAAGATTTAGTGTATATTAAATTCACAGATTTTTATTGCTTATCTTATAACAGACACCACATGAGCTCCAGATACACACAAATTCAACAACAAGTTTTTGTGTCATTAGTAAGTTCATAACAGTTCCAAATACTTTGAGCTCACTAAGGGCACAGTTCATGCATTTAAGCCCTGTGGTATTACATCTTTTTTTAAAAAATGTAAACATTAGATTATAAATTAACAATGATAGCACGGTGATTATAAATATGAAGAAATAGAATTGGAATTAATTTAATTCTGTCATTTTTCATGACTATTAGAAGTTTTTATGTTTAACACAGTGAAACGGAGTGCAGCCCAGAAAGTCTGACCATTTCATTTGGTCAGTCCCAATGGTCCAACTTGGTAACTGGCTACATCACGCATTCCATTTGGGCTGCCTTCCTTTCCCTCTTTCTTTTACCCACTCCCTTAACCTCCTTTGCCTCCCTAAGAAACTATTTGCTCTCAAATCCATGTCTCCAAATCTGCTTTTGAGCGAGTCCAAGCTGAAACACACCACAATGATCATACAATGAATCCTACATTGGTGGCTAGTATTCCTGGCAGAAGAGCAGGTATCTCTAGATTTTCTCTTCCTTATTTTGTTCCCTGGATTTCCTCATACCACATCTTAGGGAGAAGATATAGATGGAGCCAGCATGCATGTGGCAGTTGTTTAGTGCAGGTAAGATTGCATTCACATTTATCAATATCTAGAGGAAATCCTAGACATGGGGAGCCTCCCAACACTGTTCAAGTTACAAATAATAGAAGCTGAATCTGAAGATCAAAAATGGTGGACAAAGGGGGTCAAACAGCATCTATTTATGTGTCTTTTCTTCTTCCTTTGCTACCATTAGACCTGACATAGCTTGCTGGTACAAGTCTAAGTAGAGTTCTAAAATGAGCATTAGGCCGGGATTCTGGAGTGGGTTCTTTTCAGAACAGAAAAAGATCTCTGATGCAGGAAGGAAAATACAGGGGAAAGGAAACTCGAGGAGCAGCTTAGAAAGAAGGCAAGTGGCTGTGGTCCACTGAGTAGGCGTAAGGTTCAGAGAGAACACTCTTACAAGGGAATTCAAGTAAACGGTGATAGTCACATTTCACCTCCTTAAACTCTTGGATAAGATTCTTATAATAGTTCTCAGCTCTGCCTGCAAAACACTGAAGTTTTATTTATTTTTTTCTCCAAAAACTACAGCTTCCCATGACTTGGATATAATAATCGGAATCCCTGGGCATAGCGCCTGGGTACACACATTTTTAAAGCTCTGGGGTAATTTTGACACACAAAGTAGAGATGAGGACCTAGAAGCAGAATAGGAAAAATGTTGCCCTAATTTGACAAGTAATTCCTTCTTCGTTTCTTAATCAGATGTTTCTAATAAGAATTCAAGAAGAAAAACTCTCTATTTATTTATTTGTTTGTTTGTTTGTTTGTTTGAGACAGGGTCTCACTGTCAGCCAAGCTGGAGTGCAGTGGCACGATCATGGCTCATTATAGCCTCAACCTCCTAGGCTCAAGAGATCCTCTCACCTCAGCCTGCTGAGCAGCTGCAACTACAGGCATATGCCATCATGCCCAGCTAACACTTTTTTTTTTGTTGTAATTTTTTTGTGGAGATGGGGGTCTCCTTTTGTTGCCCAGGCTGGTCTCAAATTCCTGGTCTCAAGTGATTCTCCTACCCCAGCTGCCAAAGTGTTGAGATTACAGGTGTAAACCACCACACCCTGCCGAAATGCTTGATAAATAAACTCTAGTCTCAAAATTGATGCCTCCTCAAAAGGAATGAGTTTCTCAGTCACTATGTGGAATGGGCAAGGATCCTTGAGAAATAAATGGAATGCCAATGATGTTTATACTCTCCCAAATATCTTACATTCAAGATGAAACGTATTTGCATGAATAAACACATGGAAAATCTGCAAGGTATAGATTCTGCCTTAAGGCCAGGTACCTTTCTGTGTTTCTTAGTACCTGAACTCTTACTGCAACTAATGTTTTTTACAGGAGGAAGGTATGTGCTGAAGGAATTGTTCTCCATCTGCTATTACTCCTTAGAGTCTTGAAGTCAATACTTGAATATTACCAGTGCAGCACAATGGCTGGTCAATGACTCAACATACAGCTGCAATATTAACTCAGGGCATGATTCACAAATGATTCTTCTTCTATTATAGTTGCTGACAGAGTCCTGGCAACGAACCCAGTCTTTTAGAGAAAAGTTGATTTTGGCAATGAATCCAGTCTTTAGAGAAAAGCTGATAGTTGATTGAGAGTGTGTGCGTGTGTGTGTGTGTGGGGTGTGTGTGTACACAGATGGGGGGGGCATATATGTATATACACACACATACAGAGCAGCAAAATGGAACCACAATATATGAGCATATTGGGAGAGAATTTTGTCCTGGCTTGTCAGTATTCCAGTATTTTCCTCCCTGCTATGGGAATTAGTGTTGAAGTCAGACAGATCTGGGTTCAAATCATGGTTCTGTAACTTAATTGGTTATGTTCTGTGCCTTCTCTGAGCCTCAAACAATTGAAAAGAATAACATTTTTAAGTTACTGCAAAGTTGTTGGAAAGAGTAAATAAAAAGAGTAGATTTAGAAATCACATCTGAATGGCTGCACACAATAAACACTTTCTTAAGTTTAATTGTCCAGTCCCATAGATTTAGCCCAAATAACATTATTTTTTCATAAAAATCAAAATAGAGGGGTTTTAACCAAAGGTGCTTAGAGTCATGCAACTACACATTTTTCAACAGTACTATGGGCACAGTTTTAGAAAATGTCACTTAGAGGCAAATGCATAGAAATATATAAACTAGAAATTGTATAAATGCAAAACATATTTTAGAACTATATTTCATTTTATCTCCTAATGTTTAAAAACACACACCCACAGACACACACACACACACACACACCCCCCATGGTCTTCAAGCCCTGGAAACCACCTCTTGTCCCTATATAAATGACACTTTGCTTGTCATTTTTATTTTTTAATGGTTAATGATTTCCATGTAATAATTGCCAGTTTTCCTCTACCCCTTTGTCCCCTGCTGCAAAAGATCTAATCTATTCAGAGGAAGATAATTGCAGAGCTGTTGAAACAAAAAGAAATCGCTGCATCTCACCACTGTTGTGCGCCTCCAGCTGCGAGGCGGAGTTGACAGCAACCTTGCATAGCGAACAGTAAAGAAGCCGTTTTGCCTTTTCTTCCTCGGTCTCAGTAGAAGGACATGAGCTATTGCCAGTGGCTGTCGTTGGGCTTTTTTCCACTTTAGAGGTGATCTCAGTTGTCATAACACTGCTTTTGCGGATTTCCACAGTTGTCGTCGTTGATATTGCTGGTGTCCCTGCAGTACCATCTGTATTTGAAAAACACAGACAAAAGGGGGAAAAACAGTGATATTATCATTCCCTATTCAGGAATGTATCACGAATATTGCATTCTGCTTATAATGATAAGAGCAGCTAGCAATTGCTGTTTGTCAAGGACGCATCAATCACCTCATAAAAAAATTTACACAGACGACCATATTTAATTTCATGTATTAAAATAACACTTTCAGATGATTCTTGAACATCAACATAAATACAAGTTTAAAATATTCTATGGGGTAAACATCCACAAATTTCTCTTGTTAACACATAGCCTTAGTACAACAATATTTATAATATATTGCAGTTTCTCAATGCATATTTCTAAATGGATTTTTCTAGATTTTTAAACAATTAAAATAGAAGATAAATGCTTTTAAGATACTTTGAATTTCTTTACTACTTGTCTATTTTGCTTCTTTCTTTCATTCTTTCTTTTTTAATTAAAAAACAGGTACAGATCCTTTTGCAATATTTATCCAAAAAGAAAAAGAAAAAGAGAAATTGGAGGCCTGATGCCATAATTGCTTTGACCAGATCAACAGTTCAGAAAATCATTGCTCTACTTACAAAGAGTTACAATTCACCCCAAGGTACAAAAATCATCAACATCAAAAGAAGACGAATTCTAGTCTGGCGTATCTATTAAATACAGGCCCTGTACCAAGCTGTACGCAGGGAGTTTGTGGCAAAAATATTCAGACATCAGTAGCCACTATTCACAAGGAATTCACAGGATGGCCACACCATGCTGTTGTCACATTGTTCTAAGAGTTAAATGATCACGAAAATGTTGAGGCACTGTCACTCTACAACCCTTCTGGCTCTAAAGTCTGATGCTAAATCTGGAGAGATCAATCTCCAAAGTAAAACTACCCTGTCTTAACTTTATTCGGGTATGCACAGCTCCCCTTCCCAATATGCCAGTCACTGTTATGTTAGCAATGTTTGCCATACCCAATAACAAATTGCAAATAAGCTCTACACTCATATCCTATCTACCCATATACTACTTTTTGGCCTCTCAGCTGGTTCTTAACTTCCTCTCCAAAATATTCCTAGGCTGCCTCTCCAGCTACATCTGCTATTGAAACTGTCTCTCATTCCATATACTGCTATGGTCACTATCTAATGCTACGTTGAAAAGTTCATGATAAAGAGACTTGGCAAGGATATAAGGACCAATGGTCTGTCTGCAATTAAGTGTTGTCTGCATAAACGCTTACTTCTTGTTAGTTCATTACTATCAAGAGTTGACTGCAGCTACAGAATGACTGTTAACTGGGATATCCCCTTTCTTCCAGGCATCGGGGTGAAAATATAGGTGAGGTTTTTTATTGCTTTTCTAAATAGGGCATCAGAAACACTAGTCAATAAAAAGAGAAATGAATCCTTGTTTAAGGGCTGTTGTATAAAAAAATTCATCTGGATCTTATTTTCTTTGCCTGACACTTCACACACTTTCAATCACTTATTTACCTGCTAAGATCATCAAGTAAGTCTCTTTCAGTGTCATAAAGAACATTCACCAACCAAGTTTTCAAAATCATGCTGCAAATATGTGTCTCATGGCTAGAGAAAAATAAATAAAATTACCCTAACACTAAGTTATGTCATTAGAATACATTTATTCCCTTGCACACTGAAACGTCCACTCCCTGATTAGTTTTTATTTGCCTGTTAAGGTTCCATTATTAAAATAAGAAGTGACAGGCAAAAAATATCTCTGAGAACCTAGAGATGGAATAAAACATAACAACTTTAAGATGGTGCCATAGCTGTTTATTGCCCCCTATATGCCAGAAATGATTGTTTGAAAGCATGAGTATATGTAACTGTGAATAAACAACAAGTAGTTAATTTGCTAGGTGTTTTATATACTTAAAATAATTGTATGTATTTATAAAACAATTCCATTTTTTATATTGTATAAAGTGTATGTATTTATAAAATAATTCCACAGTACAGAGCTGAGAAAATGAGAAAACTCCAGAAGTTAAGAAAATGTCCCAAGGACACACAAGTAGTATATTGTGAGCCAGAGCCAAGTGTTTCATGGAACAAGAAAATTAGATTTTGAGGCAAAAAAAAAAAAAAAAGAAAAAGAAAAGAAAGAAAGTTAGGAATGATACTCTTGGCCATGACTGTGATTCTCCACAGTAAGGTCACAAGGAGCAGTGGGCTAAAACCACTAAATTGTTCTTAGGATCAGCTCTATCAGGAGTGATAACCGTAAATACAGATATTATATTTAAACTTAGTTTGGCCACACACTGAAGCTAGTGTGATACTGTGGGTGTTTACTTCATTGAAATCTACTAGGGTAAAGATTTCCCTAGTACTACCCTGCTCTAACAACTTATCCTCTGGATTGACTTGTTTATTTGGTCTTAATCTGAAAATGGCACATAGCATAGATCATAGTAATCCTAAACTAACTTTCCTATTTATAGTGCAAGTTATTGACAAAAGCATAGAATAAACAAAACCATGAATCTTTCGATTCCTGTGACATCTACGTTAGTGTTTCTCTGACCACAGAAAATAATGTACATTTATACCAAAGACAACAGAAGATTAGAGACATCAGATTCTCTATGCCTAGGGCTTAGTGAAGTATTAACATTTCTTAAGGCAAGTTCCTTGCATGAGACAGGCTTAGGGGAATTAATATCAACACTCAACTGCTGGTGCATCTACTTTGTGGAATACTTTTGACCACATAGCTAACCATAAATCTGTTATTTTCTAAGCATGTAGTTAGTGTGAAAGAAATATAACATTACATTTTTATCTTAAATGTAATATGTAGAACTTGACTCCATAAAGATAGGAATACTATTAATTTATAAGGAGTCATGGATTTTTCACTTACCTTTGTTTTAGCAGTGATAAAGGGTGTTTTTTAAACCAAGAAAGTAACGTAAATATATTTTAGCATTATGGCTTATTCAAAGAAAGTCAACTGTTCTATATAATGCATACAAAATTACATATAGCAAAGAAGTTTACTTTAATATGGTACATTAAATGACCAGTTATAAATAATTATTATCCACATGTTAAAATAGAATCTTAAATGAATGATAATGTTAACAGCATATACCCTTGACATGATGTGATTAAAATTATCTCTGTGGTCTTCCTGCTCATAACCCCTGTCTAACCATGAGAAAAACAGAAAACAGAGCTAAACTTAAGGACATTTATCAAATTCCTGACCAGTACTCCTCAAAATTAGCAAGACTATCAAAACGAGGAAAGTGTGCGCAACTATCACAGTCTAGGGGAACCTAAGGAAATATGAGAACTCAGTGTAATGTGGGATCCTGAATGAGATTCTAGGGCAAAAGAACATTAGGTAAAAACTTGGAAAATCAAATAAAGAATGGGCTTTAGTTGGCCGGGCGCGGTGGCTCAAGCCTGTAATCCCAGCACTTTGGGAGGCCGAGACGGGCGGATCATGAGGTCAGGAGATCGAGACCATCCTGGCTAACCCGGTGAAACTCCGTCTCTACTAAAAAATACAAAAAACTAGCCGGGCGAGGTGGCGGGCGCCTGTAGTCCCAGCTACTCGGGAGGCTGAGGCAGGAGAATGGCGTGAACCCGGAAGGCGGAGCTTGCAGTGAGCTGAGATCCGGCCACTGCACTCCAGCCTGGGCGACAGAGCGAGACTCCGTCTCAAAAAAAAAAAAAAAAAAAAAAAAAAGAATGGGCTTTAGTTAACACTAATGTATAAATATTGATTCATTAGTTGTGACAAATGTACCATATTAATGTGAGATGTTAACAATAAGAGAAGCTAGATGCAGGGTATATGGGAACTTTCTGATATATTCTCATATCTTCTCTGCAAATCTAAAACTATTCTAAAATTAAAGTTTATTACTTTAAGAAAAACAGAATTATAACCAGTCAACAAATGGTGCATCATTAAAGTTATTTTGTAGAATCATAGTCAGAAAGAACCTTCATGGCTTTAGAGCACAGTTTTCTTAATTTTTAGATAGAGAAGTTTCAGAAAATTTCTCAAGGTCACATAGTGCTCTGAGATAATAACTAAGACTTGACATTGTATCTCCCAGTGCGAAATCTAGTGCTTATTATCTTAACTGCAGTTACTCATGCACTCAACTTTATTCCATCAACCTTTATTAAGCAACTATTTTGTGCTAAGTTCTATCCCAAGCCATTGGGATAAGAAGGCCAATAAATATAGATCATGTACTTAGTGACAAAATAGTTTATGAGATATCCCATAAAGACTTGAAATAATAACTATTATTATAAACTTAATAATTCTTAATCTGCTTTGTTCATTGCTATATTCTTGCACTTATCCTTGGCATGAAATGGGCACTCAATAAATATTGAAAGAAAACAATGAATAAATTACCAATAATAGCTAATCATCGTGGAAGCACTTTTAAAATATTTACAAGTATTAACTCATTCAATCCTCATAGAAAAACAAGAGGTGCACAACATTTTTATTATCATCATAGCAACAAAATTGGGGTATCTCCATACCATACCAAGTTTCAAACTGTGTTTGAAAACTTGAACACAGTTCAAATTTTCAAATCAAAAAAAATGATTTGAACACAGTCTGGCTCAGTTGCACGTGCTCTTCGTTTATTTTTTATTGCTTAAAATTTAATTGTTTATAAAATAATTTGAATTAGTCTTGATTTATTATGCATGCTGAAAGATAACATATTAAACATTCGACTATAAAAGAAACTAAGCATGGCTCAAGCTAGAGTTAATTATGTATATCCAAACATCCATTATGCTAAGGTATTAAGTTGCTCAAAACCATTTAGAAGGAGGAAAGAAAAGGAAAACCTATAGCTCTCAACCAACCTCTTGTGCAGAATGGTAAGAATAAACCACAGGACTTAACTGCACCTTTTTTTCCCCCTCAAAAGACGAGAAAGTAGGAAAATGATTCGCTTTTCTTACTGTTTCCCAAAGGCTGATTCAG